AAGAAACAAACATCGCACAAAAAAAGTGACACGATGCTCCCTTTACTGGCCAGTGCTGAATGTGCCACAACTGCCGGTTTCTAATATGAGTGCGAAAGTGCGACTATACAATGGTACTGTTAGTTTCTTATCCTTACCTTTCCTCCCTGTGTATACCTTTTTGACTCAACTCTAAAGAGTATCACCTGAAGCAAAACCCCTGGTAATGTTGCTCGCTGGGGTAGCTGTCTGAATCTAGAGAAGGTTAACGAATCATGACAACCCACGAAAAAAATATTCACGTCGTAGCACCAGAGGAAGTCCCAAATCCTACTGATGTATGAATCTGGACGCACGTTAGGCGAAGGCCTGTTTTCGTCCTAGAAACCTGATCTGACCTGATCATGTAATGAAACAAGAATGTTCAGTTTATACACAATCACAACATGGTCCCAACCCATTTTTGGATTTGTATAATATTTGCAATAATTGATTTGCGGAAGGGGTCACCAGGCTTAGCGGGTCAAACCACGAACTGACGCTGGATTATAAACCTCTTCTTGTCACCGGCTTATCTATTAACTGAAACTGGAAAGTAAAAGCATCGCTTGCTGTGTCCCACTGCACGCTCAAAGCTCTCTAGCAACTGGAATCAAATTGAGATATTTGGACCAGGTTGGTACTCCTGCTGTGTTCCGAGAAGGATTCTGCAAGTTCCTGTGAATTGGCTGACCTTTTTCTCGTTTTAAAACCACATCGTTCCAATAGTTCCGTGATTTTCTTCGCAAAAACGTACGGCCCCGTCACATGTCGTGAACGAGGCAAAACGGTCGACAACGTAAAATGTTTCTTCTATGGCTTTTAACATCAGAGGCCCATAACCACTGCTGAATTCTCTTGAATCCCTCTTCAAGGTAAAATTAGCACAAAACGGTAAAGAAGTTGCACCGAACGGGTAAGCTGTCATTTGGCATTCCTCAGGATCCTTTAGATGGTCACCCTGTGGCCACCGGAGAAACCTCAAAGCAACTCTACCAGTTTTTGGCACTCTCACTCGCATAAACATCTCTTCCATGTCAGATATAACAGTTACACGTTTTCCACGGAATCGCAAAAGTATACCCACTAAATTCGCAGTGGTATCTGAACCTTGATAAAGCATGTCATTCAAAGAATGCTCCTTGTGCTTGACCGCGCAATCCAAAGCTATACGCAAGTTTTCCGTCTTTTGTGGGTTCAGTATGGCATGATGTGCAGGTGCCAACGCGGATGAGCCGCAGTATAACTGTTCCTCTGGGACTGAGACGGTATATTCCTTCTCTGTAATCGTCTTCATCGTCTGTGCGTAACGGAACCGTAACGCTTCGTCATTAATTAAGCGCCGCTTCAAGCCGTTCAACCTCATGAGCGCTGACACGTATTTCCTCATACCGGTATTGACACTCTTCTTCCATGGTAGAGGGACCACGAAGTGCTCATCGCCAAACATTGTATTTGACTCTACAATAGCGATAGCCTGCGCATTGTCTACGGAAATGCCCTGATCTAGCAACTGGGCGTCTGCAAATTCTGCATTGCACAGTCGCATTAACTGATGCAATAAATTTGAGTCTTCTTCAACCAAGCAGTTGACTGATTTCATTTCATTTGATGCGAAACTTGAAGGCCCGAAAATCCCCCAACCTAATAGCATCCGAGCTGCACGCGGATGTTTTCGACCCTTCCTGATAAGCCTTTTCAATCCGGCTCTTATTTTGGCCGGTAATAATCCCAGGCTCACACTGTTGGTCCGAACTGTAGTTGCTCCGCAGTGGCCCTCGCCAGCTGGTTCATGCTGTGTACTTAAGGCTCCCTTGACGACGTGAAGCAACTTGTGATGTCTACCTCCGCAACCACCTACGTCACAAGTGGTCTTCTTACCACGGTCATTTGCTCGAAGGCTTTCTTTTTAAACATGAAACACAAACCGTATATTTGTGCCATGTACCATCTTTCAGGGGCATTTAACTCCAGAAAACTTAAACAAGAGTAACCGGGGTGGCCCTCTGCAAAATCACACATCGTTCTGTTCTTAGATCGTTATTATTCTTCATCAAATTTACACTTTAGTTTAATGGACGTTGACGTCTCTTTCAATGGTGTACAGACAGGACGGGTTGACTGCTTCTTCTGCTTTGGTTAGCAAGTTGCCCAAAGCGACTCCGTGCTACTCTAACCATTGCAGATATAAAATCTGTCAGTTCGCTAACATTTGGTTCTTTGTCGTTTTGGGCGATTTGATCAACAGTCTCTGCCCATTTATGTTGCAGAGAATACGATAACCATTTCACTATTTACTCCAACGTGGTAAGAGGATTAAGAACAGCCGTCTAATTCATTTGTTCCAGGGCGATCATGCATCTTTCCACTCGGATAGCTAGACAAGACAGCACATCAGCGTTCACGTTATTCATCTTGAGGGCCTCCAAAAATGCACCTGGAACTGAGTGCGCTACTTCTTGTGAGCACCCAAAGAGATATTTGATAATCGTGCATGCCCTATCTTGCCATACTGTGAGTGGCAACATAATACAATCTTCAATTGCGCTCCTAGCCTTCCCCTTATAGTAGTGATGCAAATAGAGCAAGTGTTGCCCATTGTCACTGGTATTGGAGGCAAAGTATATTTGAAATTGCCCGATAAACCTCCAGTAAATTGTGGGTCACCCATCAAAAGATACAAGCTATACTTTGGGAAGGTCTAAACTCGCAGTAATTCAGCATGATGTAGACCTCGTTGTCTTATATTCTCTCTCTAGCTCATCGAACTCGACTGTCTTTGGAACAAATGGACCACTGACCTGTTGTGCATCCCATTCTGAATGTCTTTCAATTTCATCGCTCGATCTTTTCCCTCATCAATAGCTATATAGCTATATAAGGGATGGTCAACTTATTCTCCGTTCTCTCCGCAAGCCTTTTAGTCTCCAATTCTTGTAGTACTGCTTGTGAATCATCTTTTCTCGAAGTTATTTCATCTGATGCTCTATTGTTTCTCGCAAATGACGCTTCTTCACTTCAATTAACGACGCGATTATCTGACACTTAAAGCTTAACCGACTAGATCCGCTAATATAAGAGCCAAGAACAGAAAAACTATGCCAAAAGGACTTGCCGAGATTTTCCAAAATTGTGACCGAATCCCAGTTGTTCATCATCAACCTCCTTATCCATCATATTCTTTCTCCGAAAGACGGGTATATTATAGTACTGTAATGACCAAAACACGACTGTACTGGTCCGAGCAAAACAAATGACCTCGTCTGAACCAGTTCAATGAAATAACTCTTCGCTCATTCTGGATAGCGATAACCAAATCTCAGAGCAACGCGTAGCTCAAATTATCGAG